TCTCTCTCTCTCTCTCTCTCTCTCTCTCTCTCTCTCTCTCTTCCTTCCCTCACGTTCTCTACCTTCCTTCTCTATCGTTCTCTCTCTTCCTCCCCTCCATTCCCCTACCTTCCCTCCACCCTTCAGCCCCTCTGTTCTCCCCTTCCCCCTCTGTTCTCTCCTTCCCATGCCTCCTCTTGCCCTTCCCCTCTCCCCTTCACCCACTCCCTTCCCTCATCCCCGTTTCACACCCTCATACTCCAAAGCAGTGCAATCCAGCCCCTAACCACTCGCTATGTGAACAAGTTTCTCCACATATCATTTTTTTAGCTCCTTTGACCAATTATTTCAAACGTGCTCGATTTGAAAGGTCTTCCCCACCCACTTTGTCCTTGTGATTTTGAACTCATTGATCTGATCTCCTCATGGTCTTCTCTTCTCCAGATAGTCCCAACTTCTCCATTTGTTTTTGTAAGAAGGAAGTGTGGCGGAATGATGGCTTTTGCAAGTGAAGATAGCGAGAAGCAAAGTATAGAAAACGAGATTTACCGGAACAGGAATGGGATAGTGGCTTCAGTTATGCGAAGGAAATGGCTAAGGGAAAGTTTAACTGAGAAGTTCAAAGCTTCGAAGGGACTTCGATCGAGTAAATGAGGGAGACTGTTCCCATTGGCAGGCTGGTCAGGTACCAGAGTGTCACAGATTGAAGAGAATTGGCAAAAGCACTAGAGGGAGGGTGGAGATGAGAGCTTGTATTCAATATGGCGAGTTGTTGTGGTCTGGAGTCCGCTGCCTGAAAGGACAATGGAAGCAGATTCAACAGGAAATTTCAAAGGAGGGAATCGCAGAAATACCCAAAGGGGAAAGGTTTGCGGAGCCGAGAGAGGGAAAGAGAAGGGTCTGGGAGGAGAACTAATTAGAGAACTGATTAACTCTTTCAAACAATGGGCTGAATGACCTCCTTCTGCACTGTAGCTGCAATTTCAGTGTGAAATGTCCCCTGTGTTCAGTACAGTGTGTGGTGTGTCAGTGTGATTCATCTGGAAGGAACCAGAATCCATTCAATTCAGCTACTTGAGCAGTAGGGAATCAACTCTGTTAAAATCCTAGCTGGCTGCAAATTGATTTCCGGCCATCTTTTGCTGCTTTATCTCACTCTCGTTTTGCAATTCGCTTTACAGAACAAACAAGTCTTCCCTCCTGAATTGAGTTAATCGTTTAACCCTGTTGTTTGGGTTTGCAGGAGCTGGGGATGATGGAGCCGCTAGAGAAGGAGGAGCTCCAGGCAGCTGTTGATGCAGCTAACGAAAACTCCAACGTACATCTGTGCAGTAAGTAGGAGCCGTTGGTGTTTCTGTTTCAACTGCGACCAACCAGGTAGTGGTGTGAACCAATAATGTGGTCATCCTCCATGTTGGCCGTGGCTGTGTCGAGAATGCAGTCTACTCTTGAGTCACAAAATGTTGGACTCGAGTCACATGGCAGAGGCTTTGTCACATCAGTTCAGGGTCATGCTCCAGGATGGTACTGAGAGTGCTCACAGTGCAGTATGGCGCTGCCAGTTGGTGCCATCTTTTAGGATGAAACCTTAAACTGAGTCCCCTCCAACAGCCCTGCCTGGCCCCTCAGCTGAATTTGAAACGGCTCTCTTGAAGGAGGCAAGAAGCAGATCCTCCCTGTTGTTCTGAATGAATATTTAACCCTCAATCAATGCATTAAAATCAGACATTGTATGGTATTTATGTGATCTTGCTGTGCACAGATTGGGTTGCTTCCTTTCCAACATTGCAGCAGGCGACACTTCCAAAGAAAACACTATCAAGTGTGAAGCGCTTTGGGACGATCTGAGCTGGGCATAAATGCAAAGAGTTTATTTCAATCTGCGAAATCGATCTGTATTGATTCATGTAGAGCAGGCCCTGAAATGAGGCGCAGAGGACCCCTTCACCGCAACTCCACCCCCCGCCCCCCAACCATTCCCCTCCCATTGTAGAGAGCTTTAGGAACCAAAAACTCACCTGTTTTTCCCAAGTGCAGTTCCAATCACTACACAACATGTCCCAAATGACACATAGATTTGATCCTGAAATGTTACTTGCTGAAAGGAATCAATCTAATTTGCACTTCAGTCAATACTAACTGCTTCCACCCACTTTCTCAGGAGCTGTTCCATTGATTTCTGTTTCAATCACCATGGTATTGTTTCTGTGGGTCAATTTTTGCATTTACTCCTCTATTTAAGCGCAGGCCAATTCCCCTGATTCTTACTGTGCTGGGCGAAGTTGGCAAAGGAAGACAAGACTTGCATTTATTCAGCCCCTTTCCTGTTCTTGAGACACCTCCGTGCACTTCTACAGACAAATTAAATATTTTTGGAGTGTTGTTGTTTTTGGAACATGGGAAATGCTGCAACCAGTTTGGGCATAACCAGCTCCCACGATCAGAAATGCAATAATGATTAGATAGTCTGTCTTTAGGCGGCATTGAGAGATGAGACATCGGGAGGACTGCTCTGCTTCTCTTCCAGTATTGGCTGTTGTGTCTGTTACTGTACCAGAGGGGCCAGGATGCATTTCAGGTTAACATCTCATCTGATTGAGCGCAGTTTATGTACGGTGTACTGGCACCTGCTGTTCCCAATACTGTGCAAAAAACCAGTGAGTTCTCCTTGAAAGAAACCTCTGGGTTTCTTGCCCGTTATGAAACCAGAGGATTCTATTCAAAAGAAATACTTGCTCGGTTTGCCAGTGTGAACAGCTGGCTCACGGACAGGGAAATCTGTTTTTCTTTGTAACCTGCCCTGTGCTGATTAGGGTGAACTTGGCTGCTGCCAGGACAGGAATACTGCGCTGTGGCTCAGCACCCCCTGCATGATAGAGCAATGTAAAGATCAGGGTTCCTCCTCCTGCTGTTTGCCACCTGGGTGTTATTCTAAGGATGGCTCCGTCTCGTGTAAATTTGTGTTTTTTCTTAAAAACTTGCATCCCACGGTGATTGGAGCTGTCACAAAGAATAGAAGTCCCTCTACTGTTTCTTTATCATTTCTGTCCCTGACTTTATACTTGGCTGAGACCCATTTACAGCATGTCCTTCCCCGCCCTGATTTATTGTCGAACTGTATAACCTGTCTGTGCGCAGTGATGCAGGCTGTGTCACGGATTAACGCAGCCGTGCGTAAGGGGGTCCCTGATGAGACGCTGAAGGAACTGATGAACTCGAACGCCAAGCTCCCAGATGTCTACCTCTTTGCTGCCGGACTTTACCAGAGGGAGCTGACCGCCCTGCAGCAGCAGAAACCACAGGTGAGTGACCACAGTCCTCAGTCACCGCTTCCCAATTGTCATTGGACTGGGTTGAAGAGACATTAATGAGTGCCCGACGCCCACTTCCCGTTCCTAAAATTTCTCTTCAATGTTTCACTTCTTCCAGCTCTCACTTTCTCAGGAGTACAAAAACAAGATATTAAGTACTAAACTTTTACAAATCGCTGGTTCGATCTCATTCTGAGAAAAGAGCCCAGTCCTGGGTAAGGCAGGATCTCAAAACTCTCCAAGAGGGTGTGGAGGGAGACTTGCCAGAACGCGACCAGTGATGAGGGACTTCACTTTATGTCGGGAGAGACTAAAGAAGCTGGGATTGTCCTCCTCGGAGCAGAGAAGGTTAAGGGGGGTAGATTTTGTGAAGGAATTATGACTGTCAATCAGATTCTCCATATGCGCTCTGTGAATTTCTGCGATCTAGACCGTGCTGCCTGAAAAGGTGGTTGAAGTAGATCAAATAGTAACTTTCAAAAGGGAAAGGCATTTTCAAGCCTTTTGGAGAGGCAAAAGAAGAGGTTAATTGGGTAGCTTGTTGAAAGGGCTGGTACAGGCATAACAGGACAAATGGCATCCATTGCAGGATGGTTTTGTGATTAATATTCTCTGCTTACTTTGATCAGGGCGAGTTGACCCAAGAGGAGCTGTACATTGCTGTGGAGATGCTCTCGGCTGTGGCACTGATCAATCGTGCCCTGGAAGCTGGTGATTTCGGTGCATTCTGGAAGCACCTGATCAGTGCGGCCACAGGCCTGACTGACATACAGGATTGCTGTGCCCAACGGTAAGCCAAGCACCCACCCACTGCAGGGCATGTACATCCAAAGACTGAACAGCCAGATCATTTCTGTAGTCAGGGGAAGTCTTGAGGGACTCTTGATAGTTGACATTAAAAGAAGACAGAGGGTAGGCGCAGCTAAGACATTTCCACTATATGATCGCCACCTAATAATCCAGTTGGGAATTCAGGAAGAATGTGTTTACTGAGAGAGTGGGGAGACTGTGGACATCGCTTCCGATTGTCAAGGTAAATAACAGGGATGCATTGGAGGTGGAAGCTGGATAAACATGTAAGGGAGAAAGAATAGGGTGATGGTGAAGTGCGAAGAATGTATTTTTTAATTCATTCACGGGATGATGGCGCCACTGACCAGGCAGCATTTGTTGCCTATCTCATTGCTGTGGGTCTGGAGTCACATGTAGGCCAGACCAGATAAGGATGGCAGTTTCCTTCCCTAAAGGACATTAGTGAACCGGATGGGTTTTTCTGACAATCAGCAATGAAATCATGGTCATCATTGGATGTTTAATTCCAGATATTTACTGAATTCAAATTCCACCATCTGCCATGGCAGGATTTGAACCCGAGTCTCTGGATTAATAGAGATAACAAGGTGTAGAGCTGGATGAACACAGCAGGCCAAGCAGCATCAAAGGAGCAGGAAAGCTGATGTTTTGGGCCTAGACCCGAGAGAAAGAGAAATGAAAAAGCTTGAATTGGAAGAAAACGAGAACTTAAAAACTGTTAAAAGGAGCCAAGTTGAAATATTTCTGAAGAAGGGTCTAGGCCCGAAACGTCAGCTTTCCTGCTCCTCTGATGCTGCTTGGCCTGCTGTGTTCATCCAGCTCTACACCTTGTTACCTCAGATTCTCCGGCATCTGCAGTTCCTACTATCTCTCTGGATTAATAGTTCAGTGATAATTCCATTGGGACCATTGCCTCCCCAAGGAGGAGGCTGAAATGAAACAGAAATATTGGGATAACAGAGGGACCGAATGGCCTGTGCTGTTGTTTGCAATGGGCATTATTGTACATAAATCCTTGGCTTGTTTTCTCCCTTCTTGATGGGGGTACCTACCAACCTTTAGTAGTTAATCGCCAAGGTAAGTGACTGTAGGTGTCTCACCATTGGATCACAGTCTCAGTTTGACTCTCAGACAGAGGTCAGTGTGCTATGAAAAGTGAGAATTTGGCTTCAAGCATAGATCCTCCCCAGAGATGCTGAGGCTTGTCATTGCTTTCCTGCTTTCAACTAGTCATTTGGTAATGAATGGGGAACGATATGTGACCAGCAGGTTCTGGATATCATGAGTGTTAGGGGAGGTGGGAGGAAGCACGCATTATAGACCTATCTGTGGGGTGTCCGTGTCCCAAGTAGGTTCCCTGGATGCAAGCTAGTTTTGGATTTTTGATGTTTCGATGGCATCTCGTTGACAGGTACTTTGCTGAGCTGACGATTCTCAAGCAACAAGGTCAAAGAAATGGGGTGGCGATGCTGTCCTGGAACGACCTGCAAATGTGTTTGCATGATGTGAACTTCGCTGTTGAAAAGGAGCATGACAGTGAGTGCTGACTTCCACTTTGTGCATTACTTTATACACAGTGAAGACCTGCCAGTGTGGGACACAGTTCTGTTTCTGATAAACGCACTTGGAGAATCGGAGGAGAGAATTAACTTTGAGTGCTTCCCTGGACCCCTTCTGAAAGTTTTCTTCATATATATGTAATGCAACGACGCAGAAAATGGATTATGCAGTCCAAGGGATCTACATTCGTTCTGAGCCCCTTCCCTTTGCTTTGTAAGATCATGTGTATTAGGAGTGTGAGTAGGCCATTCAGCCATTGTGCCTGTTCTGCCATTTGGTAAGATTGTGACTGATCTGTTTTTTGGCCTTGTGTCCCCTCTTCTGTTTGCAGCCACCAGCCCCCCAAGAATCTTTTACTCCTTTTTTCGACAAAAGTATGTCAACACTGAATACACTGAATGACCCAATCTCCACTACTGTCTTGGAAAGAGACATCCAAACACTAATACGTCCTTTCCATTCAGCATATCCTCTATTCCTCATGAGGTTGCCGAGCTTCTTCTTAAAATCATGCCCCTTTCTGTTATGTTTGTTCACATGATATAGGAGTGGCTGGGTGTCCGTTCCTAATAGGGAATAGGTGATGTTGAGCTGCTGCCTTGAACCTTGACGTAGGAACACCCAGAGTGCCGTTAGGGCGGGAGTGCAGAATTTTGACCCAGTGATGCTGAAGGAATGACCGATATAATTCAGAGTCTGGATTGCACATGTCTCGGAGGAGATCTTTGGACTGGTGTTTCCAAATGTGAGCTGACTTTGTTCACACCTCACGTGGCTGCCTCAGAGCTCAAGACCACGCGACTTCCGCACAGGACCTCATTTAGGGCTTGCAAACCCCAGTTTGGGAAGCCCTGCCTTCACACGTTTATCTGCGACTGCCTTAAACAGATGAGTTCAACATTCCTGTGATCAAGAGTGTGTTGTTCCCATTGTCTTTGAAAGGCAAAACACTGTGAATTCTGGCAATCTGCAACAAAAGCACAGAACACTGGAGAACCTCAGCAGATGTGGAAGTGTCTGTCAAGAGAGAAACAGTTAATGTTTCAACTCCAATGTGATATCTCTTCAAAACTGAAATTTGGTTGTTTGAAAGGCCTTGCACAATACATTAGATATAGGAGCATAAATAGACTATTTGGCCAATTGAGTCTGCGCCACTGTTCAGTCAAGGCTGATAAATTTCTCAACCCCACTTTCCTGCCTTCTCCCTGTAACCCTTGATCTCCTTACTAATCAAGACCTATTTATCTCTGTTTTAAATATACTCATTGACTATGCCTCCATAGCCTTCTGCGACAGTGAGTTTCACAGATTCATCACTCTGGCTGAAGAAGTTCCTCCTCATCTCAGTTCTAATGGGTCGTCCCTTCACTCTGAGGCTGTACCCTTGGGTCGTTGCTTCCACTAGAAGGAGAGATATCTTCTCCACATCCACTCTACTTAGGCCTCTCCATATTCTGTAAGTTCAATCAGATGGCCCTTCATCCTTCTAAACTCTATTCAGTACAGACTCAGAGTCCTTAACCTTATATGACAAGCCCTTCATCCCCAGGACCATCCTTGTAAATCTCCTCTGGAACCCCTCCAATCCCAGCATATCTTTCCTTAGATATGAGGTGTAAAACTGCTCACTATATTCCAAATGCATCTGACCAGCACTATTATTAACCTCAGCAGTACTTGCATGCTCTTGTTTTCTAGCCCTCTTGAAATGAATGCTAACTTTGCATTTGCCTTCCTAACTGCCAACTGAACCTGCGCATGTTAACCTTGGGAATCCTGAACTAGCACTCCCAAGTCTGTTTATGCTTCAATTTCCAAAACCTTACGCCGTTTAGAAAGTAGTTCATCTCTACTCTTTCTACCAAAGTGCATAACCTCACACTTTACCACATTGTATTCCATCTGTCACTTCTTTGTTCACTCTCCTAGTCTCTCCAAGTTATTCTGCAGCCTTCCAGCTTCCTCAACATTCCCTGCTGTCCCGCCCTCCAATCTTTTGTGTCATCTGCAAACTTAGCAACAATGTCCTCAGTTCCTTCAACCCGATTGTTAGAGCGTAACATGATTGGTTGTGAACCCAACACTGATCCCTGCTTATTCCAGTAGTCACTAGCTGCCATCCTGAAAAAAGACCCCTTTATCCCCACTCTCTGCCTTCTGCAAGTCAGCCAAACCGCTATCCCAGCCAGTACCTTGCCCCTAACACCATGGGCTCTTATTGAGCAGCCTCCTGTGCGGCACCTTGTCAAAGGGCTTAAGGAAATCCAAATAGATCAGTCCATTGGATCTCCTTTGTCTAACTTGCTCATTTCCTCATTCAAAGAATTCTAACAAATTGACAGGCATGACTGCCCCTTGATGAAGCCTTGCTGACTCTGCTGTATTTTACAATGCACTTTCAAGTACTCTACAATCTAATCCTTAATAATGAACTCTAAAATCTTATCAAAGATGGAGTTCAGGCTAACTGGCCCTGTGTTCTGCTTCCCTCCCTTCTTAAACAGGAATGGTACATTTGCCATTTTCCAGCCCTCTGGGACCCTCCCTGACTCCAGTGATTCCTGAAAGATCACCACCAGTGCCTCCACAACCTCCTTCGCTATCATCTTCTGTGTGATTATCCACCATCAGACCTTTTCAGCTTCTCTAGCACCTTCTCCTTGACGATAGCCACTACACTTACCTCTGCCCCTGACTCTCTTGAAGATGTGCTACTGGTGTCTTCCACAGTGAAGACTGGTGCAAAGTACCTATTCATTTCCTCTGCTGTTTCTTTGTTCCCTATTAATACTTCTCCAGCCTCATTTTCCAGTGGTCCAATGTCCACTCTCTTACCTTTTTATATATCTTAAAAAAAACTCTTCCAATTTTCTTTGATATTACTAGCTGGGTATCCTCATTTTTCAACTTCTCCCCCCTCATTGCTTTTTTTCAGTTGTCATCAGCTGGTTTTTAAAGGCTTTCCGATCCTCTGGCTTCCCACTAATATTCTCCATATTGTATACATTTTCTTTTGCTTTTATGCTGTCCCTGACTTCCCTTGTCAGCCATGATTGCCACGTCGTCTCCTTAGTGTGTTTTTTTTAACGTCCTTGGGATGAATCTCTACCATGCCTCTTGAATTACCCCCCGTGACTCCTGCCATTGCTGCTTCACTGTCTTCACTGTTAGCTAATGAATCAGTACTCCTCCATGTTGAACAACACTTAGAGGAAGCACTGAGGCTGGCAAGGGCACAGAATGTACTCTGGGTAGGGGATTTCAATGTCCACCACCCAGAGTGGCTCGGCAGCAGTAATACTGATCGAGCTGGTCAGGTCCCAAAGGACATAGCTTCTAGACTGGGTCTGCGCAGGTGGTGAGGGAAAAACATACTTGATCTCATCCTTACCAATCTGCCAGCTGCAGTTGCATCTATCCATGATAGTATCGATAAGAGTGACTGCTGCGCAGTCCTTTGTGGAGACGAAGTCCCGCCTTCACTTTGAGAATAATTTCCTTCGTGTTGTGTGGCCCTATCACCAACCTAAATGGGACAGACTTCACACAGATCTAGCAATTCAAGACTGGGCATCCATGAGGCACTGTGGGCCATCGACAGCAGCAGAATTGTACTCCAGCAAAATCTGTAACCTTATGGCCTGGCATACCGCTCACTCAATCATTACCATCAAGCCAGGGGATCCACCCTGGTTAAATGGAGAGTGCAGAAATACATGCCAGGAGCAGCACCAGGTTTACCTGAAGATGGGGTATCAACCTGGTGAAGCCACCAAACAGGACTACTTGCCCGCCAGACAGCGAAAGCAGCAAGTGATAGACAGAGCTAAGCGATCCCACAACCAGCGGATCCGATCTAAGCTCATCAGTCCTGCCACATCCAGTCGTGAATGATGGTGGACAATTAAAAAATTCTCTGGAGGAGGAGGTTCCACAAATATCCCCATCCTCAATGATGGAAGAGCCCAGCACATCAGCGCAAAAGATAAGGCTGAAGCATTTGCAACAGTCTTCAGCCAGAAGTGCCGAGTGGATAATCCATCTCGGCCTTCTCCTGTGGTCCCCAGCATTACAGATACCAGTCCTCAGCCAATTTGATTCACTCCACGTGATATCAAGAAACAGTTGGAGACACTGGATACTGCAAAGTCTATAGGCCCTGACAACATTCTGGCAATAGTACTGAAGACTTGTGCTCCAGAACTTGCCGCTCCCTTAGTCAAGCTGTTCCAGTACAGTTACAACACTGTTATCTGTGGAAGATTGCCCAAGTATGTCCTGTACATAAAAAGCAGGACAAATCCAACCCAGCCAATTACTGCCCCATCAGTCTCTTCTTGATCATCAGTAAAGTGATTGAAGGTGTCACTAACAGTGCTATCAAGCAGCTCCCGCTCAGAAATAACCTGCTTAGTGATGCCCAGTTTGGGTTCCGCCAGGGCCACTCAGCTCCTGACCTCATTATAGCCTTGGTTCAAACATGGACAAACGAGCTGAATTTCAGAGATGAGGTGAGAGTCACAACCCTTGATATCAAGGCTGCATTCGACTGAGCGTGGTGTTAAGGAACCCTAGCAAAACTGGAATCAATGGGTATCAGGGGGCAAACTCTCCGGTGGTTGGAATCATACCTGACACAGGAAGATGATCATGGTTGTTGGAGGCCAATCGTCTCAGCTCCAGGACATCTCTGCATGAGTTCTCAAGGTGGTGTCTTAGGCCCAACCATCTTCATCTGCTTCATCAATGACCTTTCCTCCATCATAAGGTCAGAAGTGGGGATGTTCTCTATGTTCAGCACCATTCACGACTCCTCAGATACTGAAGCAATCCGTGTCCAACTGCAACAAGATCTGGGCAATATCCAGGCTTGGGCTGGAGTGGCGAGTGACATTTGCACCACACAAAAGCCAGGCTATGACCATCACTAATAAGAGACAATCTAACCACCATCCCTTGACATTCAATGGTGCTACCATCACTGAATCCCCCACTATCAACATCCTGGGGGGTTATCATTGACCAGAAACTCAACTGGACTCACTATATAAACACTGACTACAAGAGCAGGTCAGAGGCTAAGAATACCGCGGCGAGTAACTTGCCTCTTGACTCCCCAAAGCCTGTCCACCATCTACAAGGCACAAGTCAGGAGTGTGATGGAATACTCCCCACTTGCCTGGATGAGTGCAGACCCAACAACACACAAGAAGCTTGACACCATCCAGGACAAAGCAGCCTGCTTGATTGGCACTATATCCACGAGAATCCACTCCCTCCACCACCGACGCTCAGTAGCAGCAGTGTGTACTACCACAAGATGCACTGCGGGAATTCACCAAAGATCCTCAGATAGTTCCTTCCAACCCCACAACTACTTCCACCTAGAAGGACAAGGGCATAGACATATGGGAACACCACCACCTTCAAGTTCCCCTCCAAGTCACTCACCATCCTGACTTGGAAATATATCGTCGTTCCTTCAGTGTCGCTGGGTCAAAATGCTGGAATTCCCTCCCAAATAGCATTGGGGTCAACCTACAGCAGGAGGATTGCAGCAGTTCAAGAAAGCAGCTCACCACCACCTTCTCAAAGGCAGCTAGGGATGGGCAAGAAATACTGGCCAGCCAGCGATGTGCACATCCCACAAATGAATCAAAGAAAAGAAAAAGACTCCCCTTCTAATCAACTCTGGCCAACTCCTCCCTCAAGTCTTTGTTGCTATCTTTACTCATTTGTAATGCTGTTATGTCTGATTCCAGCTACTCCCTCTCAAACAGCAGGGTGAATTCTATCTTATTATGGTCACTGCTCCTAGGGGTTATTTTTCACCTTCAGCTCCAATATCAAGTTTACTTCATAACACATCACTGTATCCAGAATTGCCTTTTCTTAGGTTGCGTAAATTCCGTGTGTGACTTCTGCAGGAATTGTTGCAATTGGTTTGATAAATGAAGCTCTGGACCGGAACGATCCTGAGAGGACCATAGCAGCGCTCCTAATGCCATCAGCTGGCCTAGCCGACTTGGACTTCCCGGCTGCCAAGCGCTACCATGATGTACTGGCAGCGGCAAGGCGGCAAAAGGCGAAGGTACAAGGAGCCACATTTTTAAAAGAAAAGATATCCCGTTTCCGTACCCTCAAGGATCGGTTGCCTATGGAGATCTTACGACTGGCATTTTAAAAAAAAACTTCTTTTTCCCATCCTCAGGACACGCGGGATGAGGCAGTGGTGCTCTGGATCGAGGAAATTCAGGATGGGATTCACAAGGCCAACCAGGATGGGCAGGCTGCAAGGAAAAGTGAGTCATTCCATTAAGGGTCAGGTGGCATTGGAGGCGTGTTGCATCCTGTCGGTGTGTTGTGACAGCCGTGTCTCGGCGACCTCTGAGTCTAAAAGAGTTGTGTGTTTAACTTTTGACTGGGTCGGGAAGGACTGGACCGAAGGGTCTGTTTCCATGCTGCATGACTCTGTGACTCTATCTAGGCCTCTGCGCTGTCAGAGGTGCGATCTTTCAGGTGAGATACTAAACCAAGGCTCTATCTGCCCTTTCTGGAGGCCTGAAGGACCTTGTGGAAGAGGAACTCATTTGTATGATTTGGGCCAATATTTATCCACAGTAGCTGAAACAGACTAGCTGGTGGTTATGACATTGTTCATGGAAAAATCTCTGTGTTTCCTATGTTACAACAGTGAATGCACCTCAATCATTGGCTGTGAAGTACTTCGCAACATGTACTTTAAAAAGACAGAATGCAAACACCAGTTTTTCTTCACTGTGACATTCCCTGTGAATGTGCAGTTATAGCCTGTGGCATGGATGGATCAATGTGTTTGCGCATGGTGCTGAACTACTCCATGCGTGGAGAGGGAGAGAGAGTGGGATAGGTAGGATGGAAGAGAGAAAGAGGGTGATGGGGCAGGGTTGTGGAAGCATTGGTGGTTGGAGGGGGACAGTAGAGACTGGGACAGGCAGAGAGAGGGAAAGAAAGAGGGAGATGGGTGGACAGAGAAAAACAGATTAGTTTACTTGTAGTTTCAAGGGACTGCTCACTTCATGAATAGTTATGTGTGTCTTTGGTTTCTCTTTGCTTTGTTTTCAGTGTCTTTAGGGATAGCAGCCATTAATCAGGCAATCAAGGAGGGTGTTGCATCTCAAACACTGAGGGTTCTGCGCTCACCAAGTGTGGCTCTGTGCAGTGTCGTTCCAGAATGTGCCTCCACCTACCAATCTGAGTTGGCCACGTTGATGCAAATTAAAGTGGAGATGGGTAAGCCATGGCCTCCGAGACATGCTGCTCATTGTACTTAAAGAAGTAATGTGTCTCTGCACACTCAGGGCTGTATTCACTTCTCTCTCTTGACGTGACGCTGAACTGTACGGACTAAGGAAGCCTGAATCTGCTCCTTGTGAAAAAACAACTGGAGCTCCCGCTTCCAATCAGCAAGTTCTACTCAGGTGTGGGTGTTAGGTGGAAATGGGATGAAGATCCAGCTATGTTGCCCCGAGTGTCAGAAAACAGCATCAATACCAACTCTCTTGACTCCTAAATAAGATTCTGAATTCATTCCTAGAGGGTCAGGCAGCGACATGAGGTAACCTGTCACTGGGGATATAAGATCGAATCTCTTTCTAAATGAACTTGTACTTTTCAATATTGGTGCAGTTTTCGAGGGTGGTGCAGAACAGAGGCTTGGCCGTTCTATGCACACATTTGAAGGGATACAAGACAAATTGATAAAAAGAAGCACAAAGAAACTCTCATCTTTATTCAGAATGGAGTTGAGTATAAAAGCAATGACATTGCACCAAACTTTTTGTAGTCCTCTGGTTAGGCCCCAGCTGGAGTATTATGTCCAGTTCTAAGTGCCAAACTGTAGAAAAGGTGCCTGAGCCTTGAAGAAAGGGCAGGAATTCACCAGAACTATGCCCAGTCATCCCTGAAGCAGAGACGCTTCAGATCTGAAGAGGGTTTCAATTGAGTCAGTCAGGAGAAACTGTTTCCACTGGCAGGGAGGTCGGTCGGTCAGCAGAGGAGCACAGATAGAAGAGATTCGGTGAAAGAACCTGGGGTTGAGATGAGAATTTGTTCTTAACATTGCATGCTGTTGTGATCTGGAACACGCTACCTGAAAGAGCAGTCAAACCAGGTTCAATTTGTAGGACTGTAGGAATCGAAAGAAGAAAGAAATGTGAACAGGAATGGGCCACATGACCCACAGAGCTTGCTGCTCATCATCAGCCTGCTTTCCAGACCACTCCCCATATGCCTCGAGCCCCTGCAAGGACAAAAATCTGTCGATCCCACCCTTGAATATATTCAGCCACAGAGCAACCACGCCCTATGGGAGAGAGAATTCCAAAGATTCACCCACCCTCTGAGTGAATAAATTTCTCCTCATCCCATTTATCCTGACATTGTGACCAGCTCCTCCCACAATGTGTGCACAGCATTACCCAGTTGGATAGGGGTGGCGGGAGGTGCACAGCCTGTGTTGACCCTGGTCAGTCCCCTTTGGCATCTTGTCTGTCTCAATGATGTCACCTCTAAACACTGTAGACTCCAGAGGGTATCAACTTGATTTATTCAGCCTCATGTCATAGAATAGCCCCTTGGACTAGGGGCCCAACTCCTGAACCTTCTCTGTACAGCTTCCAGCGTGAGTATATCGTACTCCGGGTGTGGTCTCACCAAAATTTTGTGCAAAACTTCTTCATTCCCTTGCAATAAAGGCCAAAATACCTTTTGCCTTTCTAATTGCTTGCTATACTTATGTGATAACTTTGTTTCTTGTGCAAATTTTATTGTATTCATTCTCAGGATGTAGTTGTTGTTGCCGGGGCCAGTATGTATTGACCTTGAGTAGATGGTGGTGAGCCACCAACTTTAACTGCTGCACCTACAGTCCCATTCGGGAGGAAGTGCCAGGATTTGAACCCAGTGAACCGAAGGAATGGCTGATATATTTCTAAATCTAGATGTATGGGATTTGGAGGTGGTAATGCTCCCAAGTATCTATTGCCCTTGTCCTCTAGAAGGTAGTAATTGCACGTTTGGGAGGTGCTGTCTAAGGAACCTTGGTGAATTTGTACAGTCCATCTTGTAGATGGTACACACTGCTGCTACTGTACATTGGTGATGGAAAGAGTGAATGTTGAATTTGGGTGTGGTGCCATTTAAACTGATTGCTATGTCCTGGATGGTGGAGATCTTTTTGAGTATTGTTGGAGCTGCAGCCGTCCATGCAAATGGGGAGTATTCCATCTCACTCCTGACTTTGTGCCTTGTAGATGATGGACAGACTTTGGGGAGTCAGGATGTGAGTTGCTTTCTACAGGATTCCTAGCTTTTGACCTGCTCTTACAGGCACCGTATTTATATAGTTGGTTCAGTTCAGTTCAAGCAAATGATGAACTCTAGGATTTGATTTGAACCAGACTCTTAGCCTGAGCCTCTAGATTACTGGTCCACTGACATTACCACCTGACTATCATCTCACCTTTGAGGAGAAGTGGGATTAATTTGAGAGTTCTTTCAAAGAGCTGGCCTAAGCGTGATGAGCCAAATGACCACATCCTGTACTCTAAGGTACTAATGTTGGATGAGAAAGGCAAGCTGCTTTTTACTGTTCCATTCTTTAGGAGACAACCAGAGCTGTTGGGTGAAGCACAAGCTGAAGGACGATTCGGTGTACTACTTCAACCTGGAGACCCTCGAGGGCAGCTGGGAGAGACCCAGGGGATTTGTGCAGAGCTCCACACAGATCAGCAGGGAAGAGATCCAGGTATGGTGTCCCTATCGTTGCCCTGACACACTCAGTGGCTCTGGAGGAGCTAACAGAATGTATAAGTGGACATTGTGAGTTTAAACCACTGGGGACAAACTGCTCAGTTTGCAGAAGTGAGGGACCATCCTCTTTGACCCAGGCGAGACTGGAATTCTTTCCAAATGGTGAGAAGCTGGAAATGGGGGAAAAGGAACTTGAGAGATTTAGGACTCCAAGTACAGAAATCAGTGAAAGCTGGTGGACAGGGTCATGAGAAGTAATCTGAAAAGCCAATGGGATGTTTGCCTTTACTTCGAGGGGGCTGGAATGGAAATGCATGGAAGTGACGTTTGGAGCTTGAGTTCAATTTGATCAGGAGTAACCGGGTTCGGTTCTGGTGTTCTCCTCTCAGGAAGGATATATTGGCTTGTGAGGGGTGCATTGCAGATTCACCAGCACAGTCCTGGGGCTGAAGGAATTACATTCTGAAGTGAGGCTCCATGAGGCCTCGAGTGTAGAAGATAACGGTACATGGGAAAATGTCCACAATAGGGTGGGATTTGGTGAAATGTTAAAATTCAAAATGTGAGCCAGCTTTTTCAGGGATGACACAAGAACATAAACAGAAGTTGCTGGAAAAGCTCAACAGGTCTGGCAGCATCTGTGAAGAAAATCAGAGTTAATTCTTCAGGTCTGGTGACCCTTCCTCAGAACTGAGTTCTGAGGAAGGGTCACCGGATCTGAAGCATTAACTCTGATTTTTCTTCACAAATGCTGCCAGACCTGTTGAGCTTTTCCAGCAACTTCTGTTTATGTTGCTGATTTACAGCATGCGTGGTCCTTTCGGTTTTTGTTCAGGGATGATGTTAGGAGGCACTTCCTCACACAAAGTGGAAAACTGGGACACTCATTCTCTCTCTCCTACCTCTGCTCAGAAAATACGGTGGAGCTTACGGGATGTCAGCTTGAAATGTTGAAATGAAGATGTATAGATTTTGCTGGAAAAAGGATTAAGGATACATGGATTAAATGGGACACATAGCCAGGATATAATTCAATGGTAGAACAAGCTCAAGGGGCTGAATGGCCTACTCCTGTTCCTACAGGCATAGAAAACTTTCTAGGCTCTTTGTGGCAGTGGCGCCAAGAGAATTGGAGTGGGTCAGATATGTTGTAGACACTACAGGCATTGATGATTGATACCTTTATTTTCTGCCAACTGACCATAGGCTACTGTAACCGGAGTGACAGCCGTTTATAATCGAGAGAGACTCTGGAAGGCTAACGAGGGCATGATCACAAGGCTTCAGGCCCACATGAGGGGTTATCTCATTCGGAAGGATCTCTGCGCTCGCAAACACTTCCTCCAAAAACAGCTGCCAGCCATCGTAAAGATCCAGGTAGAGTGCTTCTGACTTTTCTTCCTGTATAATCTAGACCGACTGTCCAGTGCAGTACTGTAGCGATGTCAGGTTATCAGGGGTGCACCCTTTGATTGACCCTGCCAGTCCTTGTCTCCACGATAGTAAACATCCTGCTGCACCCCTTGATTTCCTGACTGATGCTGACTTCCTCTAGTTAACACTATCCAAAAAAAAAATGATGTTCATCTTGTTGCCGTGAATTGAGTTTTGTTTGTTCATTCGTGGGATGTGGGTGTTGATGGCTAGGCTAGCATTTATTACTCATTCCTCATCCCAGAGGGCAGTTAAGAGTCAACCACATTGCTGTGGATCTACTGGATTCACATATAGGTCAGAGTGCATAAGGATAACCGATCTCCACCGATTTAAAAGATGTCAATTAACCCATTGGGGTTTTCCGACTTCGGCAATGGCTTCATGGTCATCATAAAACTCTTCAATTCCAGATTTGTACTGAACTCAGTTTCTACTATCTGCCATGGTAGGATTTGAACCTGGGTCCCTAGAGCATTTGCAGGATTTCTGGATTAATTGTCTAGCAACAATACCAGCATCACCTACCCTTGATACAGGTCTTGCTCTGTGTAAAGTGGAAACCACTTTTTGCTTCCATAACCTGTCCCCAAAGTGGCACACTCTGTGCGATTCATATAACATTGTATAAATGCAACACCGCTATTCCATTATAGGGTTTGGGAGAGCCGTGTGAAACTGAAATGGTTGTTTATCGGCCTTAGCGGGTTGTCAGGGTAATGTTAGCCTTAGTGTTCCTGGCTTGCCTGGGCAAACCCTTGCAGTGATTATGCACCGATACATAATATTATGCCTGGAGATTGGAATCTGACTAAGCTGTGACGTTCTAGTGTTTAAGGAGTCTGCTCTCTCAGTCTGGGCTCATGTGTTTAATGAATGGAGCACCAGTTGAGCTGCACTCCTGAGAATGTAATTTCTGGAAAAGGTGGGGATAATTTGGACGGGATGGGCAGAAAGGAAGAGAGACACACAAAGCTCCAAAGCACTTTACAATTAATGACACACTTTTGAAGGACTGTCAGTAACTTGGAGTGGCACTTGCAGCTGAGATGCACAAGTGTCTGCTGCCCTTGTTGTTCTTAGTGGTAGAGGTCATGGGTGTAATCATAGACTGATCCAGGGCAAAAAGAGGCCATTCAGTTCATTCTGTTTGTGCTGGTTCTTTGGAAGAGCTATTCAACTGATCCTATTCCCATACATTTTTCCCCACATTTTTCCCTTTGAGAGTTAGTCTGATTCCCTTTTGAACATCACTCTTTTTACCTATTTCTACTAAACTGTCGTAAAGATAACAAAGAATATGGGCTAGTACTAGGAAAATAGCATTAAGTTAGAAGATCAGCCAAGATCTGGTTAAGTGGCAAAGCATGGTTGAGGGGCTGAATGGCCTACTCCTGCTCTTATTTCCTATGTCTGTTTTCGATTCAGCAATTGCAGTTAATATGTCAACACAAGTAGCAAATGTTGCCCCTCTCCGGTTTTCACTTAACAAACACTGCGCCAAATTTGTTGTTCGTCCATGAGCCTTTTCCAAGCAGACGCACCCCTCAATGGTGCATTGCTCCTTCCTTACAGCTGTTGGGGGTCTAGGCATGGGACTGGGCATTGCGCCTTGAAGTTTCACTCAAACCCATGTATCCAAGGCAAGGTGAACCATGCACGAAGCCGCAGCTAACACCAAGGTAGATAACGGTAAAGCTATTATGAAGAGGATGGTGGGGTGGTTTGACAGACAGACTTGGATTTGAATCCAACACCAAGTGTTAGGTTTGACAACCAATCCATTATACGTATCACAAGTTGTGACCAAATTGAACCCTTTCTTCTCAGAGGTTATTTAACTCTTTTTAGTTTGATCTGGAATTGATCTTCTGAAGACCGTAGTGACTTTCTCTGGCTCGCCTTTGGTCAAATCCAGGAAGGCATTGTTCTTTTTCCCCATTTATTGCACATCCTTTGCTATCCCTTGAAAATCATGGTTTACCTCTTTCTTAATCCACTGCAGTCTGTGTATGAAGTTATTACCGTGTGCTGTTAGGTAGGCAGTTTCAGGATTTTGACTCAGGACGGTGAAGCAACGGCTGATTATAGTCCCAGGTCAGCACTGTGAGAGGCTCGGTGAGTATGGTGGAGTTCTCATGCATCTGCTGCCTTTATTCCTCTGGTAGAAGTTACGATTTTAGAAGAAACTGTCAAAGAAATGTAGGAGAGTTGCTGCAGTGCATCATCCAACTGGTACATGCGGCTGCTGCAGAGCATTGGTGATTATAGGAAGTGAATGTTTAAGGTGGTGGATGGAATGGCAATCAAGCGGGATGCCTTATTCTGGATGATGTTGAACCTCTTGTTAGAGTTGACCATCCAGGCAAATGGAAAGTGTGCCATCACACTCCTGATTTGCGTCTTCCAAGTGGTGTAAGGAGTTTGGAGATGAGACACTCTATATAGAAGTCCCAGCCTCTGACCACCTTTAGTAAGCTGCAGTGTTTAGGAGGTGGATCCAGTTGAGATGTCCAGTCAATGGTATCTCTCCCCCTCCCCTCGGGTCATTGAGAAAGGGGTGTTTGGCAATGGAGATGCTATTAAATCTCATGGGAGGTGGTTTTACTCTTTGTGCATGGTTATTGCCTGATGGAAATGACTCTTGGCACTTATCAGTCCAACCCTGAATGTTGTCCAGGATCTTGCTGTATGCAGATATGGACTGCGAAAAATTACCAGTGGAGCTGGGCACTGTAATCATCAGTGAACCTCCCCACTTTTCTCCATCTCTACAATGAAGAGTTGGGGCAGTTTTGTTGGAGGCGTCTGTGGAATGATTTGGTGGGGATTTTGTCTCTCTGAAGGGATGGGAAAGAAAATTAGACAAAAGACAGGGATTCAAACTGTCTCAAATGGCTGAGGGAATGTGGATATAGGATTAAATCCAAGATATCTAGAGCAGAGGCCTGGGGAAACATTTGTTTAAAAATGAAGGTGATTGTGTAGAATGCATGGCATTGGTCAGGAAGGCAAATGCAATGTTGGCATTTATTTCAAGAGGACTTGAATATAAAAGCAGAGATGTATACTGAGGCTTTATATGGCGCTGGTCAGGCCACATTTGGAGTATTGCGTGCAGTTTTGGGCCCCATATCTCAGGAAGGATGGGCTGGCCCTGGAGCGGGTTCAGAGGAGATTCACGAGAATGGTCCCAGTAATGGAAAGCTTAACATATGAGGAAGGTTCATTGGAGTTTAGAAGGATGAGGGGGGGATCTAATTGAAACTTTCAAAATACTGAATGGCCTGGACAAGGTGGATGTTGGGAAGATGCTTCCATTCATAGGAGAGTCTGGGACCCGAGGGCACAGCCTTAGAGTAAAGGGAAGACCTTTTAGAATGGAGATAAGGAGAAATTTCTTCAGCCAGAGAGTGGTGAATCTATGGAATTCACTGCCACAGAAGGCTGTGGAGGCCAGGTCATTGAGTACGTTTAAGACTGAGATAGACAGGTTCCTGATTATCAAGAGGATCAAGGGTTACGGGGAGGAAGCAGGAGAATAGGGTTGAGGAACGTATTAGCCATGATTGAATGGTGGAGCAGACTCGATGGGTGGAATGGCCTAATTTCTGCTCCTATGTCTTATGGTCCCTGAGGTAGGTGGTTGTGTGATGGTAATGTCACTGCATTAGTAGGACAAAGGCCCAGGCTATCCCAGGGACACTAGATCAAATCTCACCACCCGCTGGTGGTGGATTTTAAGTTCAACTAACAAATTTGGAATATGGGGCCATGAAATTATTTGATGTTTTTACAAAAAAACACTGTCTAGTTCACTGACGGGGAAAGAAATTTCTGTCCTTACCCCGTTCCACTGACATGTGACTGACATATGACTCCACAGACCTCTCAGCAATGTGGCTGACTCTTAACTGCCCTCCACAAGATATAGGAGCAGAATTAGGCCATTCGGCCCATCAAGTATGCTCCTCCATTCAATCTTGGCTGATATGTTTCTCAACCCCATGCCTTCTCTCGATAATCCTTGATCCCCTTACTAATCAAGGACCTATCTATCTCTGGCTTAATACAATCAATGACGTGCCCTCCACAGCCCTCTGTGGCAGTGAATTCCACAGATTCACCATCCTCTTGCTAAAGAAATTCCTCCTTGCCTCAGTTCTGAAGGGTCGTCTCTTCACTCTGAGGCTGTGACCTTAAGTCCTAGTCTTTCCTACGAGTAGAAACATCTTCTCCATGTCCACTCTATGGCAAGCCACTCAGTTCAAGGCACTATTAGAGATGGGCAACAAATGCTGGTGTTGCCAGCAACACCCATAATCCATGAAAGGATAAAGAAAAGATAAAGGGACAGGTTGGTTAGGTGTCCAAGGGAAAGGGGATGGCATTAAGGAGGATAAGCATTAGCATGGAGCAGATGGGCCAGATGGTCTGAATTTTTAAATATTCATTTACACAGAGTGTGTTGTTGGCTAGTCCAGCATTTATTGCCCTTGAGATGGTATTGGTGAGCTGCAACCAGCTCATAGTCCTTGTGTAACTTTGGAGTATTTCTGTGTAAACGTTGAACAGATTCTAAAGAGTCGAGCTGGGCAAAATTTATGGATGCACTGCCTGAAAGGGCTGTGGAAGCAGGATCAATAATAACCTTTAAAAGGAAATCGATCAATTCTAAAATAGATGAAAAATATGCAATTCTGACAGGAGTGGCAATAATCGCATAGCTCTTCTGAATGGGAAGCCTGAAGTGTTGAATGACTTCCTTCTGTGCAATATCATCCCATAAGCAAGCAGCAAAGGTAGTTATGGCTTTTTGAATCAAAAGACAAGACCATTCTTGAAATATCAACTGGTCCCTTAAGACATGAGAGGTCTGCTGCAACATCTGTGCGTCAGTGTGCCAACATGTTCGAATAATTCACGGGCAATATACAGTCCCTTGCCAGTGTCACTGGCATCCAAAGAATAATTATTTTTCAACGTAGTTTTCTTTTTCCTGCTAGATTTTAAAGATTCAAAAATTAAATCCTAGATGTTATTCTCTTGTTTCTGATGGCTGGTAACTGTGAAGGGAACAGCATTCAGCTGTGTTTTATATTTCAGTCGCACTGGAGAGGTTACAGACAGCGGAGAGATTACCAGAAGAGGCTTCATCACTTTCAAGACAACGCAGATGCTGTGATTAAGGTGCAGACCACTTAGCTCTGGCCTTGTGTCATGTAATGTTAATTATAATGAAGGAAGTCTGGTTTAAACAGCATGATAAATATTTAAAGATCCTTCTGTGACTGGTTGGAGTTCTGATTCAGTTGCATCCACAGACCAGTTGGGTGCAAGAATGGAACAGGGAGCTCTCATTCTGCTGCTGACTGTTCAGTGAACCTACCCATCTCCCAAAAACTGGACAGGGCAGAAGGTCACCAAAGTGGGTAGCAAGGGGGAAATTCCCCATTGTGAAACAGCCCAATGCCTGTTGTTATGACAATACTATGGCTTTAAGATGTGTATTTTGTCCTGGCTTGTTTTTTTGAAGAGAGGTTTTGAATCCAATAAAGTGAACAGCTTGTGAGGCCTTGGGTTTTTTTTTTTAAGTGGGAACAATAGAAGCAGCCTGACTGGGTGGGACGAGCTCCCACAGAACCAGGATTTTTAGTTTTTAGTTTTCAGTGGCAGCAGTTGCTGGGGTCTTAAATCTGGGTTTGGAAGCTGCAGTACATCTCTCCCTGCTTTTCCCGCTCTCGCTCTCCTCTCTGAGTTTCCTCTTGATGTTTTGTCCTCCTGCACTGCAGAATTGCCTGTGAGTCAATCTACTTTTCTGAACTTGCTTTTTGCCAGGAAGTATTTATGGGATCTTTTTATATTGGAACAATTACTGTTTAGTAGTAAAATAATTATTATTCTGTTGATTTTTCCAACAGAGTTGTTATTCTAATTTCTTCCTTCTTTTGTTGTATTTTAACCAACGTGTATGAATAAAGTGTGTTTTGCTTCAAATTTTGTAGTTTGACCTATAGAATTGCATCTGGAATGCACTGCCTGGCATTTGCCTTTAAATAAGAAAAAAATTAGGGTCTAGGATATCCTCATATTTTGATGGGTTTTGGTCTGGTCCATAATACTGGCTGTGTAAGCTCACTGAAGATAGTACTGAAAATACGGCTGTTCCCCACGGACCTGTGCTTCCAGTGCAGCTTGGTGCCTGCAAAAGAGAGGCAGCTGGTGAAGCAGGGAGAAATAAACAAGCTTAAAACTTAATTTTCTTCGGAGTAATCTGAGAATGGTGAGTGTGTGCCATACAGGTGCTTAAGAAACAGCCCAACCCCAGGTGAACAATAAGCACGTCATGAGGAGTTAACCAGACTGCTTAAATGACTTTGTTTCAAATCGTGCTTCTTTGTAAATGAGCATGCGGAGATTTGTACCATTATTGAATCACTTGAAGAAGTTTCATTTTCAAAGGGATTGCCTTAGCAAAGCCATGAAAAACTCACTGAGCATCTTGTGTATTTCAAGCAGATGATTTTTTTTTTGATCCACTCATGGGCCGTGGACGTTACTGCTGGGCCAGCATTTATTGCCCATCCCTAGTTGCTCTCGAGAAGGTGGTGGTGAGCTGCCTTCTTGAACTGCTACAATCCACCTGCTGTAGGTCGGCCCACAATGCCCTTAGGGAGGGAATTCTGGAATTTTCACCCAGTAACAATGAAGGAATGGTGACTTATTTCCAAGTCATGATGGTAGTGGCTTAGATGGAAACTCGCAGGGAGTAGGGTTCCCATGCTCTTGTGTTTCTAGATGGAAGTGGATTGTGAAACATTTTTCTAAAAATAAAAAGGTGGTGAATTTAAAAATACATGTAAAGAAATTCAGTGGTTGATGTGTAGTATGGAGAGTGATATAAATAAGGATGTACTACTGGTATGGTGACCTTAAATTCAGATTTCAAAGGGAAACCTGAGGGATGTGGTGATCTGGGGAGAAATGGAGAGGCAGAGCTGGTGATGGGGCAGCGAGATTTGATTTGAAGTGGAATCTAAGCAGAAGTAGGAAGGTACCTTGCAAAGTACATCTCAAATACAGAGCTTGTGCAACAAACACCCTTTAACAAGATGTGATGCTGGTTCAGTCTGTTTCCGGAAAGACCAAAGGGATACGGGGAATGGAGGGAGAGTCAAGGTGAGGTTGCAGAGAGTCTATGTTCTCGTCGAAAGGCAGAGTGGTCTCGAGGGACCAGCTGACCCACTCCTGCTCTGGTTTCTTGCATTTGTAACATTGATACAGGCATCTGATCTTGTTGGAACATTTGATCCTGTGGGAGCTTGACAACTTGGATGCTTGGACAATGTTTTCTCCCTTGTGGGAGAGACTAGAACCAGGGGACACAGATTAAAAATGAGGGTGTTCCACATTAAACAGAGATGAAGTGCAATCTATTTTTCAGAGTCTTTGGAAATCTCTTCCACAGAGAGGGCTAGAGGTGAGGACAGAGAATATTTTAAGGTAGAAGGAGAGAGATTCATGACTAACAAGGGAATCAGGGATTTCAGAGCGTGGATAGAGATTTGGCGTTGAGGTCAAAATCAGATCTGCCATGATCTTAGTGGATTGGGGAGCGTGCTTGAGGCAGGTGAATGGCCTCCTCATAATGCTCTTCCTAAGCTACACGGCTGCGCCAATGTTCCACACAAAGTGATCATCATAAGTCAGAAAGAAAATTGGAGGGAATGCTGCGCTCGTCATGTTCCTGATCCTTATGTTCGGTAAACCACCATCGTGACATGTTGCTGAATGGATGAGCACCTTCCTTGTTATGGTCCAAAAGAGCAATGGGCAGTGGTTTTTCTAGCTGCAGTGTTCTATGGAGGCTGTTTTGCCTGGTTGAGGGAGACCTGGGAGAGCTTCTTGCATTTCTAATGTCATTTCGACACTGACTTCCTTAAGCACCATCTTAACATCAAATTCCTGTGAACTGATCAGTGTGGAAAATGCCAAAGTCCTTTTGGAAGCTTGATTATTTTGTGTGTCTGCAGGCTTCCCAGTCTGTGACCTGTTCATGCAGCCACAATATTTACATGGGTAGTCCAGTGCATTTTCTGATCATTGGTAAACTCCAGGATGTTGCTAGTGTTGATTTCAGTGATAGTAATGTCATTGAATGTGAAAGGGCACTGGTTACGCTCACCACCACCCCGCCCAGTCTCTCTCTCTCTCTCTCTCTCTCTCTCTCTCATATTAGTGATGGTTGTTGCTTGGCAATTGTGAGTGTGTGCATGTTACTTGACACCCCCAAATCTAGATGGTATGTAGGTCTTGCTGCATCTGGACTGAGACTGCTTCAGTATCTGAGGACTTGCAAATGCTGCTGAACATTGTACTGTCATCATCAAAAATCCTCACATCTGACCTCATGATGGAGGGAAGGTCAGTGATTAAGTAGCTGAAGATATTGGGCCTAGGATACTACCCTAAAGAACTGCTGCTCCGAACATTGCTCCACCTAGTCTGTTCAATAGGATTTTGTTTGATTTCTTTGTTATTAACCATTGCCTTTGACATTTTGTTCTTTTTTTCTAGATTCAGTCCTGGGTGAGGATGTGGCAGGCAAAGAGGAGATATAGGGCAAGGCTGCAGCACTTCAAGAACAATGTAAGCTTGAGTGAATAAATAATCTACCAATTGGCAGTCTCGTTTTTAAAGGACTGAGCAGGTTTGAAATTAGATGGAGATACTGGGAGAGGTATCAAATGTTGCAAAACCTGGTTACAGCTGCTTAACTGAAGGCCTGTACCACGCTATCTGGTGTGGGCAAGTGCAGCTTTCCAGTGACCACAAACTGCAGGAAAAACCACCTCATCTTTCGAGTGACTACTTTTCAGCCTTCTAGACACAGCAACGAGTTCAACAGTTTTATATCGTGACCTGTGTTCCCTCACCCACTGTTTTGCTTAATTTTTTTTCCCCTCTGACTTGGGAGCGTAAGACTTATGAGCAGGAGTAAGCCATTTGGCCCTTCGAGCCTGCTCCACCATTCAATACGTTAGTAGCTGATCTGGTTGTGGTCTCATCTCCATTGTCCCATCTGCACCCTTTAATCCTTGACTCCATTGTCCATCAAAAATCTATCAAACTCCCCCTTTGGATATGTTTGAATGCACTACCTTCTCGGGAAGAGAATTACACATTCTGATGACCCTCTGAGAAAAAATAATCTTCCTTAACTTTGTCTTAAAAGCGAGACACTATCCTTCAACTGTGTCCACTAGTTTCAGTCTTTCCCACAACAAGAAAAGTCCTTCAGGTCTCCACCCTGTCAGGTCCCTCGACATGTTAATTTTCTTTCACCTTGATTGTCTCATTTCCCATATATTCGAGCTGTGCTTTGTAGGATCCTCCATTCTAGCCTTCTCCAAACACATTCATTCACTCATTGCATTCTCTCTTTGGCCTTGCACGATGAACTCTTTTGTTGTTTAACCTTTCTTGCCCTTCACAGACCTTTCCATTTGTTCGTTCTTGCCCCTCACCCCACATCTTTCACTTGTTCAGTTTACCCCATTCCAGTGGAAGTGCCAGAGTTCTTTCTCTTTCTCCATCAACACTGCAGAGTGTTTCCTGAATTCTCCATTTTTGCTTCAGATTCCTGCATTTTGTTTTTGTGTGGGTGAGTAGCATTTGTACACGGGACTAACTACTTGGTGTGACAACATTTTAGGCAGAAAGATCAACTTTCATTTCATGAGAGAGATCTAGTTTTTCATATTTAGGCCATTGGGCTGTAGGATCCCAAGGCGGAACATGAGGTGTTGCTCCTCCAGTTTGTGGGTGGTGTCATTGTGACACTGGAGGAGGCCCAGGATGGACATGTCTCCCAGGGAGTGGGAAGGGGAGTTAAAATGGTTGACGACCAGAAGATGTTGTCGTTTGTCGCATACAGAGCGCAGATGCTCTACAAAACAGTCTCCAAGTCTACGCTTGGTCTCACCGATGTAGACGAGGCCACATTGGGAGCAGCGGATACAGAAGACCAAGTTGACGGATTTCATGGTGTTTCAGAGGACGGGCTCCTCCCCACTGCCTCTGAAGTAGAGGCATTATGTCCTTGATGCTCTGACTGCCCAGTGCAGCTTAATTGCCCTGTCCTGAGTTCTAGACCTGTTCACTATATTTCAAAATCTCAAATGATATTGTTGCCATTAATTGGTGACTGGAGCCCATAGGGGTGAATCTGCACCCCTCGTCAGGAGCTGTGCCCGCTGAATGTAGGGGCTCTCGTTTATCAGTTCCTACCCCTTTAAATGAGAAGGAAATGGAAAGAGAAGCTCCCTCAACACCATCCCCATCAAACACTCCCAGGACAGGGACAGCACAAGGGTATGTGCAAAGTAAAGCTCTCTCTACTCTTTTGGACAAGAAATGAATAGAAAGTAAAGTCATCATTTACTTCATCAGTTCCTATTAAGGTGCTGATCACGCAGGTTTGGTAACAAGTGCCCACTAGACTGGTTCCCTGGACAGTCTAATGACCAATTGTTTACTCACTCCTGCAGATTGCTTCGGTGGTGAAGATCCAGGCTTTTGCCAGAGCCAACAAGGCCAGAGGAGACTACAGGCTCTTGGGTAAGTGGTTTTAAGCACTGAATCATTGAGGTTTCTTTGAGGCCTGCAGCACTTTCCTTTTCTGTAGCCCTTGCTAGGCTGCACTGAGGCTTCTGAATTCGTCTTGGTGCCATTTCTCCAAGGAACCCAGTGGTCTTCAGCGCTGCACCAAAGACATTGCCTGTTTTGTAGGGTTTGCTGGAGCTTTTGCCTTCACTCAGATTGGCTGGAGTTGGTTACCAGCACCAGGAATTCAGTCAGTGATCTAACCCGTTGCTCTAATGTACCACTGAGGGTATGCAGCTTTTCAGGTGAGGCAGTTAAGAAATGGTCTGCCCTCCTTTGTCCTGATAAGTGACATTGGAGAAGCCATAATGATATTTTTAAAAATTCTTTCACTGAGTGTGGGTCAGTATTTGTTGCCCATCCCCACCCAATTCCTTGTAATCTGGATGGGTTACTGTGCAGTTTCTGAGGGCATTTAAGAAACCACCATGTCACTGTGAGTCTGGAGTCCCATGTAGGCCAGACCAGGTAAGGACAGCAGATTTCGCTCCCTAAAGAGCATTTTTGAACAGTCGGGTTTTAACCATGATCGTTTCACATTTACCACCACTGAAACTGGCTTTATTTAAATTCCACCAGCTTGCCGTGGTGAGAATTGAACCCACACCCTGGTCAAACTTAAGCCTGTTCCTCTGAATTATCAGTCCATCAGCACTGCCACTATACCAACATACCCCTCACCCCACAAAAATACAAAGCTGAGTTTTCATGCTGTCCCAACAGACAGTTCTCCACCATCCTGTTGGGGCCAGTTCGTTAGATATATTCAAGAGGGAGGTGGAGGTGGCTCTTGCGGCTAAAGGGGTCAAGGGGTATGGAGAGAAAGCAGGAGTGGGATACTGAAATTGTGTGATCAGCCATGATCATATTGAAGGGTCGTGCAGGCTCGAAGGGCCCAATGGCCTACCCCTGCACCTATTTTCTGTGTTTCTATCCAACAATGATTGTTTGCAGATTTTGGTGTACTCCCTGTACAGCAGCTATACGTGTAGCACTTAGAGACATATTTGAGGCACCATCAAGCACTCAGACGTTATATAAGTGAAAGTCTACATGGTGGCTTTAAACTAGGCTGAATACGGTTACAGGCAGAGACACTAGACCGGTGTTTCCCAAACCTTTTCCCAGTGTGACCCCAGCTTAATACCCAAGTTAGCATGGCCCCAGTGTGAAAATTTGGAAGGAGGGAGAATTTATGAGAAGAGCGGGGCTGGGGGAGCTGACCTTTATCTTCTGGGAAATATTTAAACTGTAGGCTTTCTATTTCAAAAATTTACCTTTCCACAGGCTTTTTTTATTGTTCCCCTGCATGAATTGGGTCCACTGTTAGAGAAGCTTCCTCAGAGCTCATGACCCCTCGGTCATAACCCAGGTTTGGGGAGTCCTGTGCTAAGTGGTGCAAATTAGCAAATGCTGACATCGATAAAGGCCACGTATACAGTTCCAATAACGTTGACAGAGCTGAATATTAGGCAGAGTGCACTACAAGCTGTTGATGCAACACATCCCAAGTAGTGTCCCGGGTAGGTCCCAATTTCACCTCTGTGTCTGCAGCTTTAGTTCCATGAGCTATTGGAGAAAATTTTGTTTTTCAAAAATAAACTTGTGTTCCTCAGTCCATGCCCAGAACCCTCCGCTGAGTGTGGTTCGGAAGTTTGCTCATCTCCTGGAACACAGCGACCATGACTTCCGTGAAGAGTGGGAACTGATGCGACTGCGCGAGGAAGTGGTGCAGCACATCCGTTCCAATCAACGCCTGGAGCAGGACCTCAACATCATGGACATTAAGATAGGGCTGCTGGTGAAGAACAGAATAACCCTGCAGGTGAGAGGCTGTCTGGCCTTTTAAGCAAGGGAAGTGTCTGGTTAAATTCTTCTTGTGGTAGGATTGTGCCTTTTGCTGTGCATGGGAGACTTCAAAGAGGCAGTTTAGTTTGTGTTTTTTTTTCTCTATTCATTTATGGGATGTGGGTATCGCTGGCTGGCCAGCATTTCTTGCCCATCCCTAGTTGCCCTTGGTGTAATTGAGAATGTACTGCAGAGAAGTAGGCCATTCAGCTGCTGGTGTTTGTGCTTCTCATACCTGCCCCCTTATAATTTCTTCACTCTTTCCCCACGCCCCCACCCGATCACCCTATCCTTCTATTCCTTTCTGTGATTTTTATATGTGTCTCTCCTATTTACCTCAACCACTCTGTGTGTGGGTGCAAGTTCCACACACTCCATGGGCTCTCTGGGTGAAGACATCTTTCCGAATTTCTCATTTAGGCTTATTAGTCTTGCATTTACAGCATCTACATTTGATCTTTACTGCCTCAAAGGCATCATGAAAATAACGGTTGTTCTAACCTTTCTAATGGCTCGATGGGTCTTCCTACAATCTACAGTGGTTCACAAAAACAGCTCACCACCACCTTCTCCAGGGCACTTGGGGATTGGCAGTAAATTTTGGCCTAGCTAGTGACTCCAACATCTTGTGAACAAATCAGAATAAATTAGGAATGAATCCACACCTTGTCGGTAAGTGGCAACATTACCACTTTGACCCTGTCAAACTTTGTCATAGTTTTAAATACCTCTAACTGGTCATGTCTCAGCCTTTGCTTTCTAGAGAAAACTTCCTTAGTTCCTTCGGCTTTCTTTGATAATCATAATCTCTCAGTTCTGGTATTATAACTTCGTGGCTCTAGTAACATGCTTGTAAATTTCCTTTTGCGCCTCCTCCAATGCCCCTTTGAACTTGTATGTGGTGCAGAGACCAGAACTCTGCACATTGACCCCCAAGTGTGGTCTATGAAAGTGCGATGCAAGTTCTAGGAAGGACAGAAACAAAGGCATGGCTGTCTTTTGAGGTTAGTTCAATTCTAAATCGTTCTGTGTCTCAGACTGTTATTGTAGTTGACCGCTTGCTTCCTATACCTCAGAGGAGAAGTTTTTAGTCACCAAGATGTCCAGATGAATTTTTTAACCTGTTCAGGACAGGATGGAGGTTCCTTTTATTTCTCACTGGTCGTACAGTATATCTATTTCCACTTACCACTTTGCCATTGATATCATTTCTTGCATGCATTGACTGTCTCATGAATATCACACTTGGTAAAAGGGTACAACTTTGATGGTGACACCACCCATGCCCATTTTGACTGGCATGGAAATTACCCTTCTTTTAGTGGTAACTTCTAATTTTGCCAAACACCCACCTCAATACAATTTTATTTTCTTTGAATAGATTAACTCTTCTGTAGGACAGCAGTGTTAGATAAATGCTGACTTCAAAATGAAGTTATGCTGGGACATGATTCTTGTGAGTGAAGGTCGATGTTTAACTCTGAGCCATCATGCTCTGTGCTGATAGGCCCTGAGCCCTGGACCTCTTCCTTTCCTTGTCTTTCTACGCTGTTGCAGTTGTTATGAAAGATTGAACAGAACTGTTGAAGAAGGGATAGATAACAATGGACCTACATCCCTGATAAATCATGGACAAAATTGCTTCCTCCAGATCAATGAAATTGTTGCCATTTACTGTTTTCTCATTGTGCTGACATGTGAGTAGAGCTGACTTCACTGAGCCAGTGCTGAAGCTTTATTGAGTGTGGTGATGTATCTCCAAGAAAGAAACTGGGACACTTGTTTACATTTTTGTAGGAAGTGGTTTCCCACTGCAAGAAACTCACCAAGAAGAACAAGGGTCAGCTGGCAGACTTGATGGTGATCGACAAGCAGAAGGGACTGAAGGCTCTCAGCAGAGAGAAGCGGGAGAAACTTGAGGCATATCAGCATCTCTTCTACCTCCTGCAGGTAACCCTGGTTTAGCAGTGACAGTATCTCCTCATGTCACCCTGCTGGGTTTTTCCCTTTCCATGCGTATTTGGCTGAAGGTGTAGATTCACCAGTCCTCCAGGTGGAGTGAGGGAGATTGTAGCGGTGCTTTGCTGATCTCCAGGGGACTGGAGCACAAAGCGGGAGTGAGGGAAGGGTGGGTAGGCTTGTTTTGCTACTGTTTTGTTTTGGTCATGTTGTGGAGTGAGTGCAGCCACTGTTGAGTAGTTGAAGATATAGTGCAGATTAGCTGCGATCCAATTAAATTGAAGGAATAGGTTTAAGGTGCTAAATGGCCTTCTCCTGTTCCTTTGGTGTTTACTTTCCACTCCTCCCTTTGCCCTGCTATCTCCCCAAAGCATCAAAATTGATAAATTTTCCAGTGGAAGCTTCATCTCATTTACTGAAATAAACCAGAGGGTCTCCTCTGTTAAACTTCCAAGGTGTCCTCTTGTCAAAATCATTTTTCAACCCCTTCTATTCCTTGCTTCAGATATCTTCCTCTGTGAAGTACTTTATGGATGAGGAGAATTTAAAAGTTGGAAATTGTTTGAGCTGGAAAGAGGAAAGGAAAATTTGGATGCATTCATAGTTAATCATTGTCAAAGCGTTAAATCCAAGGGAAGACTGATAGTTTTTTTTTCTGTTTATTCATTCAGGGGAGGTGGGCACCCCCAGGTCTGCATTTGTTCCCCATCCCTAATTGCCCAGAGTTGCAGTTGACAGTCAACCACATTGCTGTGGGTCTGGAATATATCCAGCCAAAGTAAGGATGACTGATTTCCTTCTCTGAGGGGCATTAGTGAACCAGATGGGCTTTTACATAATTTGACAACGGTTTCATGTCATCATTAGACTTTTGATTGCAATTTTTTTATTGAATTCATTGAACGTCCCTGGACTATTAGTCTGGTGTTCTGGATTGTAGTCCGGTGACATTATCATGACCAATTACCTTGGTCCAGATTATAATTTTGTGGTCCATTTTTTTGTTTTGTGGTGTTTGGGATTAGCTGACAATGTGTCTGTTCTTACTGGATAAGAATAGCATTGACTTTCCATCTGTGCCTGTTTCTCTCATGCCAGACAAAGCCAGTGTATTTGGCCAAGCTGATTTTCCAGATGCCCCAGAACAGATCGACCAAGTTTATGGATTCTGTCATATTCTCGCTGTACAACTACGCAGCTAACCAGAGAGAGGACTACCTGCTGCTACGTCTGTTCACCACTGCTCTTCGAGAGGAAATTAAGTACGTGATCAGGGTGACGGGCAACATATATAGGAGCAGGAGTGGGCTATTCAGCCCCTCGACCCTGCTGTGCCATTCAATAAGATCATGGCTGACCTTCAACCTCCTCACCACTTACCACGCTATCAACATATCCCTCAATATCTTGAACCTCTAAAAACCTGTCTTGAATATTCTCAATGACTGAGACTCCACAAACCTCCTGGGGGTAGAGAATTCCAAAGATTCATCAACCTCCAAGTGAAAAAATTGCCCCTCATCTCAGTCATAAATGGCCAACCTCTCATCCTGAGACTGCCTCCTGGCTCCAGACCTCCCCAAAATTAAAAAAAAATCTTGGGGGAAATACCCTTCCTACATCTACCTTATCAATACCAGTAAGAATCATGTCTGCTTCAAATGAGATACCGTAGCATTCTTCTAAATTCCAGGGAATACAAGTCCAGTCTTCTCAGTCTCTCCTCACAAAGACACTTCTGCATTCTTGGGAATGGGTCCCAACAAGAGCCAGGGCTGTTCATGCCTGTTGGTCCTGACAGGTCTTGCTATCTTCTGCATTCACGGTTGACAGTAACCTGCAGTCACCTCACCCAAATGAGCGCTATTGACCTGTTACTTGGCTGCACAGGCATCAGATGCAGGGTAGGACGCTGCCATAATCTGACGCCCATATGGAATGAATCATTGGATAGTGGGCCGAAGGGAAATCCCTGTCCAGGGGTGTGTGGAGTGGCAGCGGCAAAGATAGTAGCCCCTCATAACCACAGCCAAGCAAACAAAGGCAAAATGGAGACTGACACTCGGGCATTCTGGCCTGTGTGCATCAGTCTTGTACTGAGCATTGGTTATTCTTCTATGCACCAAGTCATTAAGATAGCAATTCAGTTCCTTCAGCAGTACAAGTGCAAACTTCATGTTGCTCAGATGGGCTATCATAGATGCAATAGACAAGTTTATTTCTGTTAAGTGCTTCAGTATGATGCTTCTTGACCCAACAAGACTGAGCATTTGACAAGGAGGATTTATTGATTTACCTTTTCCCTAGATGTCTGTTCCTGATTTTGTCTGTGTGCCCCTAAGCTCAAATCCTCATTCCTTATAGGTCCAGAAATAGCTGGGAAGGGGAACATTCAGGCTAGTACAGAGGTGGTTGCTATTGGGTGGAGTAGCCAGAATAAGTTGGTGAAGTGCTGAAAGAGACTATGTCTCTGACTATCTGGTCTAGATCTGCGATATTGCAATTCTCTCAAGACGTTTATCACCCTTTAATTCTGGCCTCTCCCCTCTTGCCTGTCCTCTGTACCCTTTATTAGGTCATTGACTGCTGACGTTTCAGTTGTCTAAGGCATGGTATTCCCTACTCTCATTTCTCCAACTTGCACAATTCCTCTTCCTTTCTTTCTCTGCCTGTCTCCCCTCTCCCCCCTCTCTCTTCCCCTCTTCTTTCTCCTCTCTCCTGCTTTTCGTTCCTCTCCTCCTCCTCCTCCCTCTCCTCCTCCTCCTCCTCCTCTCCTCCTGTGAGATGGATTAGAACAGGACTTTCCAAGCTGGCAGTCAGGACGCGAAGAGGGTTGTGAGCCGAAATGTTGCCATATCGAGCTCCATGTTGGCAATGGCTGTTGTGGAGCTGTGGCTGGGTTTATAGCAGCTGTGCTCCTGCTGTAACAGACAAGCACCACCCCATTCTATACCCCACCTTATCCCATTGAGGAGTCAGGAAAGGGATGAAATGAAGTTTGTAAAGCACTGGACTAGAACTACAGGTCATGGTTTAAAAATAAGAGGGTCTCCCATTTAAGAGGGAGATGAGGACATTTTTTTCCTGTACAAAAGGGTGGTAAAAGGTTATTGGGGTTCGTTTGGAATGTGGGGTAATTGGATCATCCACCTGCCTGTTCAATGGCAGAGCAGGGAGGAAGGACTGAATGGCCTACTCCTAATTCATACATTTGGAAGAGGATTGTGAGTCTTTGGAACTTTTGTGCCTGGGAAGTGGAGGAGACAGACATCTTTATGTATTTTTACAGTTGACGTGGATGTTTTGTTGAGTAACTAGGGGATCAGGGATAGGCAGAAAAGTGAGTTGAGACCGCAATGAGATCAGCCATTGTCTTATCAAGTGGTGGAGCAAGCTCGAGGGACCGAATGGCGGGTTCCTGCTTCAAACTTGTACGTTCGTGTTTCCACATGTGGCTCAAATTTTTTCCGATGACCTTTCAGTGAAGCACCTTGGAATGTTAAAAGGCCTATTTTGATGAAGAGAGGGGCAATGTTGGAAAGTTGAGACCAATTTCATTACCTGTACAGAATTTGTTTTCGGCCACTGTTCAAATTGGTACAATTCTACACCAAGACTCTCGGCTTCCTCCTTTGCTCTTTTCCCAACCCCTGCAGATCAAAGGTTGACCAGGTCCGTGAGATCGTCACTGGCAACCCCACCGTGACCAAGTTGGTGGTGAGTTTCTACCGGAATGTCCGTGGTCAGAACGCCTTGCGGGAGATCTTGGGGCCTGTCGTCAAGGAGATTCTGCAGGATAAATCCCTGAGCATCAAGACTGACCCAGTCGATACTTACAAGAGCTGGGTGAACCAGATGGAAACTGAAACTGGGCAGAGAAGGTAAAGATTAGAATTGCAAAAAGGAGTGGGGGGAGGGGGGGTGGGCAGGGTCGTCACCTTGATGCTATTGTTGCCACCAGGGTCGAGCAGGTCTGCTCCCAGCTGGCAAAGTGGAATCATTTACTGCCCCCATGGGTTACAGGCGGCATTGATTCTGCGGGCGTTGCTGTCCCTGCTTTTGTCAAATGTCCCCTGGTAGGCATTTGGCAAGGATCAAATCAGGCTGGCCTGTGGGTCCCCCCACACCTCACTTGAGACAAATTCTCAAACTCTCACATGGCAAAAGGAGGTCACGTGCTCGAAGTCGCACAGAACGGAGAGTGTGTTTTTGATATCTATTACTCCTGAGGTAATTGGTATCTGTTACTGGCCACCCAACTGCTACTCCTGAGAGCAAATCCCTGCATCGGTGCAGCCATCCTGGAGTGTTTAATCCCCCAGTAAGTGGCTCTGTATCCACTGCAGCGCTGGTGTGTTGCCTGCTCTGTTCTGCTCAGACTTGAGGGTGGGTAGGATCAGTGCCCCCCAGTCAGCAGATGTTTCATTCTTTGATCTGAAGCAAATCTCTTTCTAATTACACAGCTTCAGGTTAAGTGCATGTGTGGCGAGGTGATTTAGAAATCAATTAAAATTGGGAGGGTAGGCAGAATTGATGAGATGTCTGGTTTTCAATCTAACCAGCTTTGTCCTGCAAATGTAGCTCCAGGCCTGCTGTTTTGAATTTAATACCAAACCTCACTCTCAGCTCCCAGGTTGAAGAGAATCAAATTTTTTTTAGGCTTATAGCCCTTCTGTACAGTTTACTGAAGAAATGTTAAGGCAATAAATTGTCCGTTTTGTTCTTGACGCTCCTCTCCAGTTCTTGCTGAAGCTTGCAGGCTTCAGTCTCCGGCTGATACTTTTCCAAATGCCTTTTCTTCCAGATTAGCACTAGGCTACCTGGTTGCGTCTGAGTTCATCTCTTAAGCTTTCTTCTTTGTCTCACTTGATATCTGCGTGTGCCTAAACAGGAATCTTCAGGCTACATCTGCAGGGTGCTGGAAAAACTGTAGCATGTAGCCAACTTCAACCAAACCATTGAAGCAGGTGCCTTCTGATCTGTATCATGTTACATGTGCTTGATGTTGAACAACATTACCCCCTACCCACCAAAATCAACATGCTGGAGGTTACCATTGACCAGAAACCAGCCGTATAAATACTGTGGCTGCAAGAGCAATTTCATGGAGAGTAACTCATCTTTTATCTCCCCAAAGCCTGTCCTCCATCAACAAGTTACAAGGCAGGAGTGTGAGGGAATACTCCCCACTTGCCCTGGATGGGGGCAGCTTCAACAATACCTCGAAGCTCAACACCATCCAGGACAAAGCAGTCCCCGCTTGGACTGGCACCACATCCACAAACACTCACTCCCTGCGTCACCGAGGCTCAGTGGCAACAATGTATACCACCTACATGATGCACTGCACCAACTTCAGTGGCACTTCTAAACCCATGACCTTTTCCACTTGGGGCAAAGGTAGCAGACATGGAAAGATCAAATTCTTAGACTTTGACTGGATTAAAAACTTGGAACACTCCACAACCTAGGGATGAGCAATAAATGCTGACCCAGCCAGCAATGCTCATATCCCAAGAATGGATAATAAAAGCACTACAAGATGAATTCTGATTTGCTTTGTTTTTACTTTAAACATAAGGTCGTAGATCTTTGTCTAAGTATTTAATGTTGAAAGCGGTACTCGAACATGATTCTTCCATGTTGTGACCATGTTTATTGTCATCATTGGTTCTTTACCAGGTATTCAAGCAGGTCTGCCATTCTTCCTGATCTGTGGTGCTAATTCCAAAACTTGGAACAACTCTGGCGTACTAGTTCCCTTTCTTTCCAAATCCCATTCTCATTTCTAAAAACAAAATCCTCTTTCAAAAGCCTTTTCCCGTGACTTGTGTATAGTGTTCCCTTTTAAACTGTTTTATGTTGTGAAAGCTGTCCGCCATCCTTGCAGGGGCCTCACTGGCTACCCAGTCCTGTGTTTCGATCTGTAGTCCAGTAAGCAGATAGGCATCAGGGTTTGGGGAACTGAGGAGTGCTTTTTGTTGAGCTTCTCAAGTGTTGTTGGAGCCACACTCAAAGCATGTGGGAGTATTCCATCACACTCCTGACTTGTGCCTTGTCGATGGTGGGACAGGCTATGGGGAAATCAGGAGGCGAGTTACTCTCTGCAGGATTCCCAGCCTCTGACCTGCTCTTGCTGCCATAGTAATTTTATGGCTGGGTCCAGTTCAGTTTCTGTCCAATGGTAACCCTCTGGGATTGTGGATCTGGCTGTTGTAAGAACATGTGGATTGCACGTGATGCATTGGGACTGTCAAATGGTTCTCCTTATCGGTGTCTGTCTATTGATCTTATACCAGCCAAAGACTGTGCAGGGCTGTACCTTTTCAAAGTGTGACCCTATCTTTTGCAAAGGAGCTCAAAACTTAGCAAATCTATTAGAACAAAATGAGCTTGTGATCCCTAATGGCTGGCAATCATGAACTCCCAAGACCACTTTAGCTTCAACTGTCTCCAGGACTGACAATTTTATAAATTGCGTTGCCTTTGAGAAGGCCAAAAATAAGCAATTGATTTCTCTTTTTCTCTCTCTCTCTCTCCTTCAGCAAATTGCCGTACGAGGTGACTCCAGAACAAGCCCTGACCCACCATGAGGTCCAGCGGAGGCTGGACATATCCATTCACAATCTCCGGGCTGCCACTGACAAATTCCTCGCTGCCATTGTCTCCGGCATGGACAAGATACCGTACGTACTCTAAAGCTTTCTCCAAGTGTATTTGGCACAGCCTTATAACCTTGGATGTGGTTGTGGGTATTGTCAGCCAGAGGCCAATGCCTTCTGGTTGCTTACGATGACTCCTCCGAAATCTAAAAAGAGAGTCTGCATTTCTCTAATGCCTTTTGCAACCTCAAGTCCCCATCGCAGAATTGTTATGGTGCAAAACTGAGGCATTCAGCACTGCTGCCTCACAGCGCCAGGGACTTGGGTTCGATTCCAGCCTCAGGCGACTGTGTGGAGTTTGCACGTTCTCCCTATGCTTGTGTGGATTTCCTGCAGGTGCTCTGGTTTCCTCCCACAGTCCAAAGATGTGCAGGTTAGGTGGATTGGCCATGCCCCTAAATTGTCCATGGTGTCCAGGGATTTGCAGGCTAGTTGGATTCGTGGGGTTATGGGGATAGGGTTGGTGGCTAGGTCTGGACGGGTCGCTCTTCGGAAGGTCAGTACAGATTTGATGGGTCAAATGACCCCTTTCCATACTGTGGGGATTCTGTGATTCCGAGTGGTGCAGGATCTTTCACAGCGAACTGGAAGGGACCTCGGTTTTGTGTCTCATCCAAAAGACCATGTCTTTTACAATGCAGCGCTCTCTCAGTATTGACCACAAAGCCTGGATTATCCTCCAGTTTTTTTTAAGATTCATTTACTGGGACATTGGCATTGTTGGCAAGATCAGCGTTTGATTTCACTGGTGAAGAAGCTTCTAGAAATGATAAGTTGGGATAAGATTAGAAACATGGGCGAAGATGGGTTTAGGGAAGGCGCTGGCCTATAGTATTATCATTAGACTATTAAACCAAAGACCCTGATAATTATCTGGAGACATGGGTTTGAATCTCGCCATGGCAGATGGTGGAATTTGAATTCAAAAATAATCTCAAATTTAGAATCTACTGATGACCGTGAAACCATTGTCAATTGTCGGAAAAACCCGTCTGGTTCACTAATGTCCTTTAGGGAAGGAAACTGCCATCCTCACCTGGTCTGACCTACATGTGACTCCAGACTGACAGCAATGTGGTTGACTGTCAATTGCCCTCTGAAATGGCCTAGTTGCACCAATCGCTACAAAGTCTCAGTTCTGGTCACTCTGTTATAGGAAGGATGTTATCAAGCTGGAGAGGGTTCAGAAGAGATTTACCAGGATGTTGCCGGGTATAGAAGGTTTGAGTTATAAGGAAAAGCTGGGATAGGGTGGGACTTTTTTCACTGGAGCATAGGAGGTTGAGAGGTGACCCAAGAGAAGTTTATCAAATCGTGAGAGGTTTAGATAGATTTGATGATAGTTGATTAAGTTTGGCATGGACTGGTTGGAGTGAAGGGTCTGTTTCCATGGTGTATGACTCTATAAATGAAACCGGACAGATCACCTGGCATAGACCTAGGCTTCAGAAAAGGCAACAGCAGAACCAGCCCAGTTGATCCTGCAAACGCCTCCTTGATAACATCTGGGCACTGGTGCCAAAATTGGGAGAGCTGTCTCATAGACTAATCAAGTAACGTAGTCATGCTCATGGAATCATACCTTTCAGACAATGTCCTAGACACCACTATCACCGATGCTGGCTATGTCCCGTCCCACCAGCAAGACAGACCCAGCACAGTGGTATGCAGTCGGGAGGGAGCTGTCCTGGGAGTCCTCAACATTGACTCCGGACTCCATGAAGTCTCAGCTTCAGGTTAAACATGGGCAGGGAAACCCCCTGCTGATTACTATATACTCCCCTACCTGATGAATCTACTTCTCCATGTTGAACAACACTTGGAGAAAGCACTGAGGATGGCAATGGCACAAAATGTTCTCTCGGTGGAGAATTTCAATATCCACGACAAAAAGTGGCTTTGCACCAGTACTACTGATAGAGCTGGTCGGGTCCTAAAGGACGTAGCTGCAGTAGGTGGTGAGGGAGCCAATAAGAGGGAAAAATATGCTTGACATTGTTACCAATCTGACCACAACAGTACTGGTAAGAGCGACCACCGCACAGTCTTTGTGGAGATGAAGTCCTGCCTTCACATTGAGAATAACCATCATGTTGTGTGGCATTGTGTGCTAGATGGGACAGACTTTGGACAGTTCTAGCAACTCACTACTGCTCATCCATGAGGCGCTGTGGGCCATTAACAGCAGCAGGGCACAATCTGTAACCTCATGGCCCAGCATACCCCCAACTCAAACATTACGATAAAGCTAGGGATCAATGCAGGGGAGGCGATGGCCTAGTGGTATTATCGCTGGACTGTTAATCCAGAGACCCAGATAATGTTCTGGGGACCTGGGTTCAAATCCCGCCGTGGCAGATGGTGGAATTTGAATTCAATAAATATCTGGAATTAACAATCTAACGATGACCGTGAATCAATTGTTGGAAAAACCCATCAGGTTCACTTATGTCCTTTAGGGAAGGAAACTGCCATCCTTACCTGGTCTGGCCTACATGTGACTCCAGACCCACAGCAATGTGGTTGACTCTAAACTGCCCTCTGGGCAATTAGGGATGGACAATAAATGCTGCCTGGTCAGCGACGCCCTCATCCCGTGAATGAATAAAGACAACAGAGAGTGCAGGAGGACATGTCAAGAGCAGCACCAGGCGCACCTGAAGATGAGGTACCAACCTAGCGAAGCTACTAAATAGGATTAGTTGCATGCAAGAAAGTAAAAGCAGCAAGTGATAGACAGGCAGAGCTAAGCAATCCTAAAACCAACGGATCAGATCTAAGCTCTGCAGCCCTGCCACATCCAGTTGTGAATGGTGATGGATGATTCAACAACTCACTGGAGGAGGAGGTTCCACAGATCCCCATCCTCAATGATGGAAAAGCCCAGCAATCAGTGCAAAAGATAAGGATGAAGCATTCACAGCAATCCTTAGCCGTTTGTGCCGAGTGGATGATTTATCTTGGCCTCCTTCAGTGGTCCCCAGCATTACAGATACTGGTCTTCAGCCAATTCGATTCACTCCACGTGATATCAAGAAACAGTTGGAGACACTGGATACTGCAAAGGCTACAGGCTCTGACAGCATTCCTGCAGTAGTGCTGAAGACTTGTGCTCCAGAACTTCCCGCTCTCCGAGCCAAGACCTTCCAGTACAGTTACAACACCGGTATCTACCCGGCAATGTGGAAAATTGCCCAAGTATGTCCTAAAAATCTAGACTTGTATAGAACATAAAAAGCAGGACAAATCCAACCCGGCCAATTACTGCCCCATTGGTCTACTCTCAAACATCAGTAAAGTGATGGAAGGTGTCATCAACACTGCTATCAAGCAGGTCCAGCTCAGAGATAACCTGCTCAGTGAGGACCAGTTTGGGTTCTGTCAGGGCCACTCAGCTCCTGACCTCATTACAGCCTTGTTTCAAACATGGACAAAAGAGCTGAATTCCAGAGGTGAGGTGAGAGTGGCTGCTCTTGCTATCAAGGCTGCACTTCACCGAGTGTGGCATTAAGGAGCCCTAGCAAAACTGGAATCAATGAGAATCCGGGGACAAACTCTCCAGTGGCAAAGGAAGATGGCCGTGGTTGTTGGAGGTCTGTCATCTCTGTAGGAGTTCCTCAGGGGAGTGTCCTAGGTGCAACCATCTTCAGTTGCTTCATCAATGACCCTCCCTCCATTGTAAGACCAGAAGTAGGGATGTTCGCTGATGATTGCACAATGTTCAGCACCATTCGTGACGACTCAGGTACTGAAGCAGTCCATGTCCAAATGCAACAAGATCCGGTTGGTCCACTGCTTTTTGTCATTTATATAAATAATTTAGATGTGGACATAGGAAGCATGGTTAGTAAGTTTGCAGATGACGCCAAAATTGGAGGTGTAGTGACCAATGAAGAAAGTTACCTTAGAGTACAACGGAATCTTGATCAGATGGGCCAATGGACCAAAGAGTGGCAGATGGAGCTTAATTTAGATAAATGTGAGGTGTTGCATTTTGGAAAGGCAAATCAGGGCAGGACTTGTACACTTAATGTTAAGGTCCTGGCAAGTGTTACTGAACAATGAGGTCTTGGAGTACAGGTTCATAGTTCCTTGAAAGTGGAGTCGCAGGTAGATAGGATAGTGAAGACGTTGGGTATGCTTGCATTTATTGGTCATTGCATTGAGTATAGGAGTTGGGAGGTCATGGTGCAGCCGGTTAGACTACTTTTGGAATAGTGTGCGCAAATCTGGTCTCCCTGCTCTAGGAAGGATGTTGTGATACCTGAAAGGGATCAAAAAGGATTTACAAAGATGTTGCCAGGGTTGGAAGGTTTCAGCTATAGGGAGAGGCTGAATAGGCTGGGGCTATTTTCCCTGGAGTGTTGGAGGCTGAGGGGTGACCTTATAGAGGTTTATAAAATCATGAGGGGCATGGATAAGGAATAGGCAAGGTCTTTTCCCCAGGGTGGGGGGGGGAGTCAAAAACTAGAGGGCATTGGTTTAAGGTGGGGGGAGTGAGGGGAGATATAAAAGAGACCTAAGGAGCAACTTTTTCATGCAAAGGGTGGTGTGTGTATGGAATGATCTGCCAGCACAAGTGGTATAGGTTGATACGATTATAACATTTAAAAGGCATCTGGATGGGTGTATGAATAGGAAGGGTTTAGAGGGAAATGGACTAGATGCTGGTAAATGGGACTAGATTTATATAGGACATCTGGTCGGCATGGATGAGTTGGACTGAAGGGTCTGTTTCAATGCTGTGTATCTCTATCACTCCAACAGTGACAACACTTCATAAAAATAGCAAGTCCACATTTAACATCTCCCTGTTTAAGTGTTCCAGTTTAAAAATTGGTAAGTTATTGCGACCCGAAATCTAACTGAGCTTTGTTTCAATATTGTTTACAGCTGGACTTGACCCAATTAGCATGGCCCTCCCCCACCCACTCTGACTTCTTGTCTATTGATGGATAAAGCCCTGGAGAGAGTTCAAAGGAGATTTACTAGAATGATACCAGGAATGAAGGATTTTAGGGATACTAAGAAAGATTAAAGAGACTGGGCATATTCCCCATGGAGCAGAGAAGATTAAGAGGTGATCTCATTGGGGTGTGCACAATTACGAACAATTTTGACAGGGTGAAGAAGGATAATCCATTTCCACTAGTTGAAATGTCAGTAACTGGTGGTCACAATTCAAGGTTGTTACGAAGAGAGCTAGACATGAGATGAGGAGACACATCTTCACTCTGATTAGGATTTGGAATGCGCTGCCTGGGAGAGTGGTGGAGGCGGATTTTACAGGAGGTTTCAAAAGCGAGCTGGATACACACTTGAAAGTGATGAAGTTAGGGAGCTACAGTTTAGGGCTGGAAAGTGGGACTAGCCGGGTAGCTCTTTCAGGTGCCAGTACAGACACAATGGATCGAATAGATTCTTTTTGTGCTGTAAAATTCTGTGATTCTATTGTATTTTATCATTCACCATCTCGATCTCTTCTAGCACTTTCAATGACTTGTATACCTATACACCTGAGTCTGTCTGCTCCTGCATCCTTTACTATCCACCCATTGTTTTATATAGTCTCTTCCTACTCTTCCTCTCACTTTTCTGCATTGAATTTCACCCATCGCTGCCTGTCCATTGTACCAACTCATTGATGTCTTTTTGAAGTTTGAAACTACCCTCCTCACCTCAATGCTTCCAAATTTCACATCATCTCTATAATTGGAAATTGTGCCCTGTAGCCCAGGGTCTAGACATTAAATTTTTTTATCAGGAAAAGCAAAGGAGCCAACATAAACATTTGTGGAACTACGCTAAAACCCTCCTCTATCACAGAAAACGTCCATTAATAACTACTCTCTGTTTAATGCCACTCATCTAATTTCCTGTCCATGTTGCTAGTGTATCTTTTATTCCACACACTGTAACTTTGCTCATAAGTCTGTTCTTTGTAAGTCCACATACCCCACATTACCCTCATCAACCATGTCTATTACTGCTTCTAGAAACTAAAGCAAGTTAATTAAACTTTGCTGTTAGCTAATCCACACTGTCTTTCCTTAATCTTTTTTTACTCATTTGTGGGTGTGGGCATCGCTGACTGGCCAGTATTTAATGCCTGTCCTTAGTTGCCCTTGACAAGGTGGTCGAGAGCTGCCTTATTGAACCACTGCAGTCCACCTGCTGTGAGTTGACCCACAATGCCCTTAGGGAGGGAATTCCAGAATTTTTACCCAGCGACGGTGAAGGAACAGCGAGATATTTCAGGATGGTGAGTTGCTTGGAGGGCGACTTGCAGGAGGTGGTGTTTCCACGTATCTGCTGCTCTTGTCCTTCCAGATGGAAGTGGTCGTGGGTTTGGAAGGTGCTGTCTGAGGATCTTTGGTGAAGTTCCTCATGCATCTTGCAGATAGTACACACTATTGCGACTGAGCGTCAGTGGTGGAGGGCGTGGATACTTGTGGATGCAGTACCAATAAAGCGGGCTGCTTTGTCCTGGATGGTGTCAAGCTTCTTGAGTGTTGTTAGAGCTGCACTCATCCAGACAAGTGGGAAATATTCCATCACAGTCCTGACTTGTGCCTTGTAAATGGCAGACAGGCTTTGGGGAGTCAAGAGATATGATAGTCACCGCAGTATTTCCAGCCTCTGACCTGCTCTTGTAAACAGTGTTTATGTGGTAGGTCCAGTTGAGTTTCTGGTCAGTGATAACCCCCAGAACGTTGACAGTGGGAGAATCAGTATTGGTAACGCCACTGAATGTCAAGGAGCAGTGGTTAAATTGTCTTTTATTTGTGACAGTCATAGCCTGGCATTTGTGTGGTGTGAATTTTACTTGCAGCTTCTCAGCCCAAGCCTAGATATTATTCTTGGGGCACATTGCTGGTCACAGGCCTCCAGTCTGAAAAGCCACCATCCACCACCAGCTTTGAGTGGTCTTCTACCTTCCAGACAGTTCAGTTGTCCAAAAAGCTAGTTCTCTCTGTATTTCATGTGATCTAACCTTACTAACCAGTCTACCATGAGGAACGTAATAAGCAATCTTCCACCACAGCCACACAATAATGAGAAGTTAGCTCTTGTTTGATGGACAGATATTGGTGTTTGATGCTGAGGGGAGCTGCGACTTCTTCACAACTCCAGCTCTTAGGTACAATTACAACATTTAAAAGACATTTGGAAAGGTACATAGATAGGAAAGGTTTTGATGGGTATGGGCCAATCACAGGCAAATGGGGCTACTTCAGTTCAGGAAACCTGGTCAGCTTGGATGAGTTAGGCTGAAGGGCCTGTTTCTGTGCTGGATGACTCTGCTGAGTTACCTGTCCTCAAGATAGCTGCAATTAACTCTGGGTCATCTCTCGAGTTAGATGAACCAAACCCCATTCAGTCTACTCTGAATCGCTGCCCACTGGAGAGTGTCTTAGGCTGCAGTCCCACCGAGTAGACTTGCCACATATCAGAAGAGCTCACTGAGTAAATGGCCACATAACAAAGGTACCAAGTGTCAATCTCCACTTCTGGATTGCTGCTCCCACTAAGGGAGTCAATGTACGTGTTCGCGGAGGGTTGTGAGACGAAAAATTCTTCTCCACTGCATTTTCTGTGTCTGCAAGAGAAGCAGAGGGTTGATGACTTTTTTTAATGCAGGAAAATCTGGTGCTGATTCAGCAGTAACATTCAAAATGGAGGAATCACATATATACTTATGGGGGAAGAAAACACGCAGGGCTTTGGGGGAAAGGAATGGGACGAAGGGGAATGAGGTGGAAAGCCAGCATATGCTGGATGGGCCAAATGGCCACCTGCTGTGCAGTGAGATCCTGCGGGAATCTAACGTTGATCGTCTTGTTCCACGCGCAGGTACGGAATGCGATATACTGCCAAAGTGTTGAAAAACTCACTGTATGAGAAGTTTCCAGGTGTTACTGAAGACGAATTGTTAAAGGTAAGATTTAGCCAGTCGGTGTGTTGTGTTCTCTCTCTCTCTCTCGCTCTGTCGCTCTCTCTCGCTCTGTCGCTCTCTCTCTCTGTCGCGCTCACTCTGTCGCTGTATCTCTCTCTCCGTCGCTTGACCACTCCCCCAACACTGTCGCCGCCCCCCCCCCCCCCCCCCCCCCCCCCCCCCCCCCCCCCCCC